TACAGCTAGTGACAATACATGGATGCAATGCGAAGGATGCACCGAGTGCTTCCCCACAGCAAGAGGTAACTTCAATAGAAGTCGATCGCTATCATACCAGCCCTTAGCTTCTGACAACCCTCTTTGTGTTCCAAACTTACTCGTAAATGGCAGCTGTGCCTATGATACTAGGTACGGATATGAATGTACTGATTGTTATAGTAAGGGCCAGGTTGGAGCAGACACATATATCTTTAAAGATGGCACAAGATCTGTCAAAGGGTTCCCCAACACTGTGTTCGGTTGCGGCCTAGAAAACCGCATAGCTTGGGCTAGGTTGGGCCAAAACAACACCATTTCTAGAATATTAGGCTTGGGCTTGGGGAGGCGGTCTATCTTTTCATAATATGTCGATGAGAATAAAGACGTGTGTCGTATTGCTTGCCTTCGTGGTACTCGCTCCGTGGAATGTACACATTACTCCAATTTGGGGACGACGCTCGAATAGGCGGACGTCCCGGGTTAACAGTTCGGACAATGACACTAATTCGAAATGTGAACACGTATGCGGTTAATGTCCTAGGTATAAGTATATCTGGAAAACGCCTGAGCATAGATCCTGCAGTTTTTAGGTTAACACCGAATGGTACTGGTGGGTTTCTCATCGACACTGGATCACCCCACAGTGTCCTTGTTCGAAGGGCCTACGATGTTGTGAAAGGAGAAATAACCCGATATTTCCGAGACAAATATGATTGGCATCCTAGGCCTCCTCAACCAGGAAATTTTGACTTGTGCTATGACTTGCCTCATGGGAGTTATACGTATCCAAGTATGACATACCATTTCGCAGGCGCTGACCTTTTACTCGATGACAAGAATGTATTTCAGTTCTTTCATGGGGGATTTTGCTTGTTCATGCTGCCAATAAATGATGGAGCAACCAACTTACTTGGAGCATTTCAACAGGCAAATCGTCGATTCTTGTTTGATTTTAGAGCATTCACAGCTTCTTTTGTACCAGAAGTGTGTCACTTCCATGAAGAATCGAAGGATGAAATTACATGAGATAGTAACCGTGGGTCTTTTATGTAGTTCTCTCCGGTATTTGCTATTGCAATAAAGAGAAAATTTCAGTGAGTTCTTTCTTTGATCTACATGGATGTGAAAGATGGATTAGATTGAGATCTCGAAGCAATCACTTCATCATCAAGCAGCTCATTGCCATAAACATTGATAGAGTAGTCTTCCAAAGAAACATCACCCCTGAAAAATTATACAAAGAGCCGTTGTGTTCTTACATCCTCCAACTCAGGATAAAAAAAACACTAAAAGTATCATAACTTTTGTATGATACTCAATTTAGTCCCAAAACTTTTTTACCGAATCACTTCAGTGCGTTACAAGCTAACACTAACGACGAGGTGAGATCTCTAAGTGGGAGTTTGTAGCATTATAAATCCTAAACCAGTTGTGAGAGGTCATGTTGAGTAATTCATAAGTTAACACTTATCCCAAAGAGTCACCAGCTCATGTGATTACTCAAAGCACTCCTTTACAAGGCATGACCTATGTGGAATGGACTGAATCGTTACAATGGCGGTAAGAATGAAGGAGCGGGAAGTGTAGAGTAAAAACCCATTATGTGGATCCTCTAAGATAAGCTGTCATAAGATCATTCAATATCGCACTTAATAATATCTTCATGATCTTAAATATTAAACACACTTGTGTACATTACTAGGTTAAAGGAAAAAAAAATATAGCTTATATTTTCCTATAATTTAAACTATGAAGAAAATGAAATTGGTTCAACAATTTCAAGAGAGATTGATACCATCAGGGGCAATTCTCTCTCTCTCTCTCTCTCTCTCTCTCTCTCTCTCTCTCTCTCTCTCTCTCTCTCTCTCTCTCTCTCTCTCTCTCCCCTTGCTCTCTCGGTAACACAACTTTGTTTGGCAATTTAAGTTGGGGGAATAGCATCTAGATGGAAAGGAAATGAAAAAGTAAACAAGTGAAATAGATAATGAGGAGGAAAAGTATGTCAATCGATAGACTAAAATGCCGTTCTCTTTTCTATTTTGCATTTCTTTTAAAAGGGGCGGTTTTGGAAGCGGGAGAGGTAAATACAATTTCCCTTCTTTTCCTTCCAACTTTGAAGAGAAATTCCTTTGTGAGGTCGAGAAATGTAATTTCGTCCACTTTCCTTTGTGTTAGTCTCCATAACAACAAAAGTGGGTCTTCAAGTTCAAGCGAATTCAAACCTCTTTCTTGTTATTGGTTTTAGTTTTCCTCTGTTCAAATTAGTTTCATGGCGAAATCGTAGGTGGTCTGACTTTTTACATCCGGAATTACAAAAAAACGCTGCATTCCAAGAATATTTTGGATGAAGGAATCCAGAATGTGTTCAAAAAAATATTAGATAATATGAAAAATAAGAATTGTTGAAATTTTATTGAAAAAGATGAAACAATAATATCAAAATATCTAAGCGTGCAAATATTGTCCTTAAGGATAATTCCGCCTCCTAAAGTACGAAACTTGGTGCAATAAACTCTAGCAGCTATCCTCCCAAAATAAAACAGACATTCTTCTTTATTCCGCATAGAATAAGAAAAATAACAAGAACAATGTTATGTAGGCATAACGACGTTAGAGCTTGAAATCGGTGTATCTTGATTGTGATTTAAAGTTTAATTTTATATTCAAACGAAAGAGAGAGCTTGAAATCGTTATAAATCAATTGGTAATTATTAAAATGATGACCGTTACAAGACCGCTATAATATAATTGAGGGTTTATGAAGAAATAAATCAAACGTTACAAAACCGTTATAAACCCGTTATAAGATCGTTACAAAGCCGTTATATATCCATTATAAAATAATCATGATTGTCATAACTTTTATCAAAACTATTGCTTAAAAATATTTCAAAATGATTAATACTACGAAAAACCCTAAACTAGTACACATGTAACAAATTTAATACAAACTAATTTTTTTACCGCCAAAAACCCTAAACTAGTACACATGTGACAAATTTACCGTAACTAATTTTTTTACCACTAAAAATCATAAACTGGTATATCTATGACAAATATATAATTCGTTAGTTTTCCATTAAATTGGATTAATATCATGAAAAATCACAAACTGGTATATCTATGACAAATGGAGGGTATAACTCTTAACTGGTACATTCGTAACAAATTTATCATCTGTTAGTTTTCAGTTAAATTGGATTAATATCACGAAAAATCACAAATAGGTACACCCGTTAAGTGCCACATGTCATCCAACTCAATAATTTGACAAGAAAATTTAATGGAAACTAACGGAGGGTAAATTTATCACAGACATATCAGTTTGGGGTTTTTTGTGGTAAAAAAATTAATTTTGGATAAATTTGTCATAAGTGTATTAGTTTTGAGTTTTTCGTGGTATTAACCCATTTCAATCCTCCCATGCTGCCAAACATAATGAAAGTCTTAACTTTGTATGTGACATCTCAAGTGTAGTTTTCTACCTCCCAGCGGCACGTCTTGGCAGTTTTAAAGTCGCAGATATACAATTTAGCAACGCCCATGACAGCAACAATATGTCAGAAGAACTGCACTTAAAACAACAAAATCGATGCAGTTCTAGTGTTGTTTCTTTGAATTATGACACATTGAATCGGACTTATTTGTCTTTACTTTGTGTATTAATTGGAGGAAAATCCGGGATTTCTACCAAGCCCTTTGGAACCTTTGACTTCAATGTCGAGCTCATCCCAACAGATGGATTTTATACTACCCTCTTTCTTTAAAACCTAAACCTAGAAGAAAGATATCAAAAGAATCTTTATTATATCTCGAGCTTGTGTGCAGCAACTCGAATCCAAGGCTTGTTACGAGGTCAATCATCTCCTTCTGCTGGCCCTGGGGGGTGGGCCCCCCCCCCCCGGTGCGCGCCCCCGGGGGGGAGGATCGGAAAATGCCCAAAATATATATTTTTTGATCACGGTCTGAAAGTACGCTAGCAGACTGAATTGGCACAAATATAAAACCACTAGGCATCCCATCGATTATTAGGCTGAGGCCATCTTCACATATTCAGTAGCTAAAATACGCGTTATTCTTGCATACGTGCCCTTCATGGAATCTACAAAATTGCTCCAATTTGGAGATGACGCTTAAATAGGCGGCCTAGGGAATCTGTTCGAACAACAACACTAATTCAAAACGTGAAAAAATACTCGATCAACGTCTGGAGGCATAAGTATATCTTGAAAGTGCATAAGCATAAATCCTGCAGTTTTTAGACTAAGATTGAATGGTACAGGTGGGTTTATTTTCGACACTAGAACTGCCCACACTATTCTTGTCCGAACCGCCTATCTTGCCTCTTGGCAACTACACGTATCCAAGTAGGACATGCGATTTCGCAGGTGCTTACCTTTTTCTCTGTGACAAAATTATATTTCAATTCTTTAGTAGGGGATTTTGCCCGAATATGTTGCCAATACATGGTGGAGAAACCATCGATTATTGTTTGATTTTAGAGAATTTGCAACTTCTTTAGCATAATAGTGTTGATAAAAGAATATCATTTGACGTTGCCAATACATGACGGAGAAACCAGCTCACTTGGAGCATTTCAATAGGCAAATCATCGATTATTGTTTGATTTTAGAGAATTTACAGCTTCTTTGGTAGCTTAATGGTGTCAATAAAAAGAATATCATTAGTCCATTAAATCACGTGGCAGCGAAGACATGACTTGATCAATTGATCATTATTGTAGCCAACAAAGACCCAAAAAAAATCAAAAAATGACCATGCGGCGCGTGAGATACCTCACACACCAAGCGAGACTAGATTGCGGACGGGGGGAGCTTACTTGCCACGTCACTGATCCGGAGTCACTCCCCCGCTCGCAATTTCGACCGTCCAAAACGAAATCGACGGACCACAAACGCTCCTCGCGGACGCCGCCCAGGATCGTCCCCTCCATACAAATAGGCCTTCCCCCCCTCGCTGCTCCGACTCACTCTGTTTCGCCATTTCCGATCGGGGCAGTTGATCCCGAGCTCGATCGATTCCGTTCCTTCCGTTCGTATTTTCCCGGCGAGAAGGGAGCGAGGATGTCGGGGCGCGGGAAGGGAGGGAAGGGGCTGGGCAAGGGCGGGGCGAAGCGGCACCGCAAGGTCCTCCGCGACAACATCCAGGGGATCACGAAGCCGGCGATCCGCCGCCTGGCGCGGCGGGGCGGCGTGAAGCGCATCAGCGGGCTGATCTACGAGGAGACCCGCGGGGTCCTCAAGATCTTCCTCGAGAACGTGATCAGGGACGCCGTCACCTACACCGAGCACGCCCGCCGCAAGACCGTGACGGCCATGGACGTCGTCTACGCGCTCAAGAGGCAGGGCCGGACTCTGTATGGGTTCGGCGGCTAGGGCCGGGGTTCGAGGGGGGTCGGTCGTGGGGGAAAGAGCAAGTCTTGCTGTCAAGAAGAAGGAAGAAGGGAAGGTTTTTGGGGGGGTTTTTCTTTTTGGGCTTGTAGATTGGGGGGTGAAATTAGGGTTTCGGTGGGGGATTGGAATTGTGGGTTTTTCAAGGGTAATCTTGTAAAGGAAGGATCTTGACTGGAATAGGAATGGGTGGGGACTTGGGAGATACTGCTTATCCGTAGTTTCTATGTGTGTACTGTAAACTTGCCCTGACGATGCTTATAAGCTTTCATTTCATGGCAATTGTGATTTCTGGTGATTTTTGTCCTTGCTTGATGCTAATCCAGAAGAAGATTCAGTGTATTTCGTTCAATGGGCACATTCTTTTTCCCTCACTAGTTAAATGGGCATTTGAGCAAAGACAATCTTTAGTTAGCTGTAGTCATCAATTGAAGAAATTGAAATGGATGATGGATGGTTCAAATTTGCAGTGAGCACCGCCTGTTTCTCCATGGTAGTAACCAGCAAAATGGCTTGCTTTTGGATTTCGGATCACCCATCATCCTGAAGTTGCAGGAGCCAAAGATCGAGCTCAAGTCAGAGATGACTGGAGCTTGTTGGACCCTTCGCTGAAAGTGTGAAATTCACTAGGTTGAAGAAAAATTGACACAGGATAAATTGAAGCCTTCCCTTCGTAATTCAACAAAACTGCATTCATGTACTTTATTGCCTTATGATTTAATTTCCCAACTTCCAGGTTGGCGGACCCCAATCACTAGTGTTCTTTATTCTCTATTCATACAAGAAGAACAGGGTATTCTGAACCTGATGTCCAACATATATTACAAACGACTGCTCGTGTATGTATAATTCATGAAGTGAAATGTCATTTTTGACGCTAGCAATCCAAAATCTGGAATGCTGCTACACATCAGTGGCTCCTTTTGAAGCAGACCCTGGAAGAAGGTTTGAACCAGGGGTCTTACCTCATTTCCTCTTTCACCATGTTGGCGAAAACTTTGCTCATCGAGATTGCTGCGAGATTGCCTAGGCTTCCCACGCTGAATTGAGTGGTTGATGCACCGTTAGTAGTCTCCTGATAGCCGATCCGATCCGCTCTCGTGACTAGCCCATCTTCGTCGTTGGGTTTTTCTTCCTTTACTTGGAGTTGAAGTGCACACTCCAGGTTCCACAGCACATCTCCCATCGAAGGCCGATTGAGACCGCTTTCGGCTAAGCATTTTTCAGCAATCTCCATGAACTTGCAGAGGGACTCTTCACTTGCTTGATCCACGAGATGAGGGTCTATAGTTTCTTGGATTCGGCCTCTTTCTCGCCATTTCATCGCCCATTCGACTAAATTCACCTTTCCTCTAGGAAGCGACGGGTCGATAACTGCTCTACCACAAAGGATTTCAAGCATCACGACCCCGAATGAGTAGACATCTGATTTTTCCGTGAGCTGTTGCCTAGTCAGGTATTCAGGATCCAGATATCCAAAGCTCCCTTTCACAGCTGTGCTCACGTGCGTCTGGTCTATCTCAGGACCGGTCTTTGAGAGCCCGAAATCGGCAACCTTGGCCATCAAATTCTCATCCAATAGGATATTTGCCGACTTGACATCGCGATGGATGATTGCCCTTGTGGAGCCGGTGTGAAGGTAGTGAAGTCCTTTAGCTGACCCAATGCAAATCTCCAGCCTTCGCTTCCAACTCAGCACGGGAAGATCCGAGCAGTACAGACGACTCTTAAGGGTCCCATTTTCCATGAATTCATAGATAATGATCATCTCATTCGGTTCGTCGCAATACCCGATCAGCGACACCAGATGGCGGTGACGAAACTGAGACAACATCTCGATTTCTGTACGGAACTCCGTCAGGCCCTGTCGCGAATTAGATTGCCCCCTCTTCACTGCCACCTTAGTCCCATCTCTGAAAATTCCCTTGTAGACCTTGCCGAAACCTCCCGTCCCTATTATCAAATCTTGGCTAAAATTATTCGTAGCCTCTTCAATCGCTGTGAATGGGTAGCGATAGCCAAAATTTGAGCTGGAAAATACTGCCAAGCTGTTTGAGCGCTTATCCCGTGTCTGATTCATGACAAAATTGTCCTCCTCCTTTGAGTGACCCACAGCTGCCAGCTTTCTTCTTCTTCTGCTGCAGAGTAAGAAGAGCCCTAAAACGAAGACAAGAACGATGCAAATCCCGCCGGACAAACCTGTGATCAGAATGATTTTGCTTCTCAATTTTGTCATTGAAGAACCGATCTCAGAATCTGAAGTTTCAAGACTGCCCTGAGAATTACTTATCTTCATGATCTCTAGCCCGTTGAGGATGGCCATGGGGTAGTAACTACTCTCAGAAGAAGGGCCAACACTAACAGTCAGGGCACTACTACCGGTGGAACTTTTAATTACATCAAAAAAATACGGGGTGCCGATGATGTTGGATGTCAGTCCGCTGAGATCGAAACTTCTATAGGCAAACCAGGAATTGATGTAGACATTGAAAAAGAATGGCCCTGGAGGAGAATTCACAATGTCGCAGAAGTGGAATCGGACTAGATAGTCGAATCCAGCATCGACACTGAAGAGCCAAGTTAAATTGGCGTTAAGGTGAGGGTCACGGACCGAATCCAACTGGGTGGCCGTCCCATAGACCGATGCGGGAGCGATGTTCTCAGTAACATTCCCATTCTTATAGGTGACAGCAGCAACGTTTGACACAATCGATACTGTGCTGTGCTTCAAAAACGTGTCATCTGAGACCCAAAGTCGCCACAACGTATCCTTCTGCGGATGCACAGTTTGATTTCCCATGTTCACTCTCAAAACAGTCTCTAGCGCCCGATTCTGCAGATTCTGATAGACTCCGGGCGTTTCGACTATCCTGGCACTGTCGGGGATCAGCTCAATCGGGAGAGAAATGACTTCCAAAGCATTTACAAAGGCAAATGAATCGGAATTGGGCGTGAAAGTAAGAACGAGCTGATTAGTGGTGATGTTGAATGAGTATTCCTTTACAACCGAGCCCTTCTGTAACTGGAAACCCTTGAGAAGGGTGAAATTCTGTGCGGAGACGGAGAATTTTGCCGTGCTCATATTGTGCTCTCTATAGACAAAAGGGAAGAAATAGAGGCGAATCAAGTGCCTGCCGTTTTCCTTCATTGAAAATGTGTAACGGGAGGGTTGGTTGAAGATCCTAGCGGTCAGATACAGAGTCGAATCATAAGAGGACGAGAGAGAACTCGAGTTTGTGTCAGCAAGAATATTTTGTGTAGTAGAAAGTATATCGGAGTAGAAGTTATCGGCCAAAAACGTGCGATTACCAATGGATGAATTCCGGGGGGATCCACAATCTATCAGATAATTATCCACAGGAACGAATCCTGAAGCTATACGAATCAAACAGAAGAGGTATGAATATGAGAGGATCAGCTCAAGACTCACATTCCCCATCTATGGAACAGCTCGGAGAGGTGGATAACAAAAAGGAGCTATACAAAATGATCGCAGACCGATTCCCAGGACATGAATTCACAGAGCTTGATTGTCGAAAGCAGTTGGATAAGTCCAAGTATCACCAGGTAATGGCAGCAGAGCTTACAAAGAATTTGAAGGGCACGAACTAAAGAGCGAATTCATGACGAACTCGATGAAGAACTGCTAAGGGGAATCAAGGAAGGATTGAAAGATCACCTGAACTGACATCAATGTGAGGAGAGATGCAGCAGAACTCCCATTAAAGAAAAGGGAAATGAGCTCTTCACTATTCAGCTGATTGATCAAAAGTGAATAGCAAAAAGCTAGAAAACAAGTGTAAGTGCGGGCAAAGCACAACCACCATAACAAAATACAATTCACAACAGCCCGCGTTGTTCCCTTTTGTTCTTTTGCTCATTCTTTGTTGACTTATTTGACAAATTCTCGGCACTGGAAAAGAAAAAGGAACGACAAAACAATCATGAAAGAGCAGAAAGTGACAAAGTTCAACGCGTTTGTTATCATGGAATTTAAAAAGGACAGCTATGGAGAGATGGTTCGCAAACCTTCAGCTTCTCCACGTGGATAGAGAGCCGAATGGAAGGTGTTGAACGTTAGACTCCATTGGTGTCTGTATCTGACTTTTCTTTTTTAAAAGGGAAAAAGACACGAACAGGCTTTGAACTTTCGCCCAATACGTAATTTGGTCCATAAACCTTTAATTTGTTCAATATAGTCCCTGAACTTTAACCTAGTGTTCAATGTGGTCCCTGAACTTTTAATTTGTTCAATTTCGTCCCTAGACATTTGATATATGTTCAATTTAGTCCATGAACTATATGAAAATCTTCAATGGATCAAAGTTCAAGGACTGTTTGTGTCATTATCCATTTTTAAAACCCTAACGTTATCGCATAGTCCTTGAATCAATCTTTCTTGGTTTAGGTAAAACTTCGATGGGTCAATCTCGCGGCCTATGTGATCTAGGACTCTAGGCACTTCCTTTGACCTTAATTTTAAAATCTATCTTTAAAAAAAAAAATCTCAAGGTGTTAAGAATAACAATCGATTGTGTCGGCGTTTACTTATGTGCCATAACATTTCAATCGATCACTTAAGTGTCATAATTTTTATAAAATATTCACCACAAGTGCAGGGAATCATAGTGGGATGGCACTTCTGGTGAACGTCTATTAAAAGTTATTTTCACTCAAGTGATCGATTGAAAAATTATGTCATTCGATGAGTGTTCTTTAGAAGTCATGACACTCATGTAATCGATTGAAAAGTTATGATACTCAAATGAGCCCCATTCGAAAGTTATGACACTTGCAGTGTCATTATCCTTAGTAGATTATGACCTTTTTACACGACTCTTCTAGTTCCGTGTTTGACTTTATACAAACCAAAGAACATGTAAAGTTGTGTAGAGTGGTTACACAATACCAAACCAAATATGATAAGTAGTGGGGTCCTGCTCCTATATGATTGTAGTTTGTGGTAACAAACGTTTCAATTACTTATTCAACAAGATCTGATTTGAATTCACGTTGGACACCTAACACGACAAGTTTTCCAAATGATTATCATATGAATGATACCCATCTCGAGGTCGTGCTTCTAGACGTATTGAATAATACTCATGATTGGTTACATTGTGCATCTTAAGCCGGAGGATAGGAATTCAACCAAGGACTCCTTCAATATGAACAAGGTGAAGCAATTGGACAACCGCTATTCTAGGTAACAATTTTCAATGTGTCTGATGCTTAAAATTCTAACAACTACCAATACACCGACCATGTGAATAATCGAACCGATGTCAATAACCTTAGTTGCACGCAAAAAATAAGTACCCTCGTTTTTTGATAGTGACTTT